TCAGTTCCTCTTGGCCAATCTCTATGAAAATTTCGGAGTATGCTGCCGTAGTTGATGCTCACTACCACACAAAAAATCACGAATTTATCATTAGCCTATCCCGAGATACTGCATACACAAGGTTAAAATGGCTGATTTCTACTGCCACCTATGGACAGAAAATGACCCATCACTAATTGGTTTCTTGTCATTTGAATTTTGACAGTTTTTGACATTTACAGTGGACAGTGTATACATCATGGATATGAGACTGGCTAGTTCTTTCATCGCAGTTTATGTTATATTTTTTTCCGAATATCAGGTGTACCGTCAATGGTCAATATGGTGTCACACGAGATTTAAAAACGCCTTTGCTATATAACAAAGCATTCAATATTTGTCGGATTGGTTTTGAATGAAAGCTTATCAGTGGGGAATAAAACTACCAAAGATGATTCGAAAGTTTTACTTATTCTTATTAAGAAAGGGACATTAAATAAAATTTGAAAATATAGTTGTCACACTAAATGTCACACGAGATTTCATACTTTGTGTGTCATATTAACTCTTGTAAATTAAGGCATATTGAGCTGAAATTTTTATCATTTTATTTGTTAGTTGTGGCCAGATATTGCTGAAAATATCACGGTTAGAAAATGCTCCTTTCGCATAATAGAGAGGAAAATAGTGTAAAAATGTCACACGAGATTGTTGGCAAACTGTCACACGAGATTTTTTCAACAAAGTGCCAGATGAGATTTTTATGTGGATAACTATCCAGTAACTGAGATTAAGGTGAATAAAGGGCATATTAGTCGCTTTCATGTTTAAGTGACTATCACTACTCACGCGAACTAATTCTAACACATTACTCACGAGTTAATAAATTTGCTGTGAAAGATGCGTATACACGATCTATACTCAATTTAACAGTGGTAGTCGGGAAAATTTATTCATATCCATCTCTCATATAGTGTAGTAAGATGCACTACTCCCAATCTCTAAAATCGGAAATTTTTTTTTCATCGATTTTTTTCTCAAAACGGTACAATAAAGTTGCAATTCATCCATATATTCAAACCGTTTCCCTAGGATGGTTGAACACTGGAAGCATGAATATTGCACGATTTTGGCACACAGCATCTATTATAAGAAATGGAAAAGTGTTAGTTATGGGTGGATATAATGGTTTTTCTGCTCTAAACAGTGTTGAGTTGTATGATCCATTCACCGGAGTTTGGATAACGACTGGTAATATGAATAATGCACGATATGGACACACAGCATCCATATTAAAAAATGGAAAAGTGTTAGTTACTGGTGGATATAATAGTCAGTTTCTAAATAGCACTGAGTTGTATGATCCTTCAACAGAAAATTGGACAATGTTTTATACGATGAATA